CCCCCCCCCTCCCTTACAGCCATCACATGCTGCTTGATCAGTAGTTTGGCTCCTGAATACAGTTTCCTTACTTAACAGCTGGTACATAAGCTGGTTTTGGTTTCTGTAGCTAATTTCTAATTGAACTGAAATAACACTTCATTTCGTACACAAACAAATGTGGTATTACACACGTACACACACACACATCCCAATGAGTCAATAACACGAGTGTCGCCACGTGTGGCTTAGAATAGTTGAGTGAAAGCAGCTTAGTGAATCGACAGAGAGCCTGTTAAAGTTAAACCAGCAACAGGAAACAACGGATCATTACTAAACTGGGTCCTGCATGTGTGTGTCAGCAGGTGTGTGTGATCACAGGGGTCAGCTGTGGCCCCTTTTAGAGTTCCGGCGATAGAGAGGAGGCAGCCAGTGTCTGATTTTTTTTTTTTTTTTTTTTTTTTTTGCCACCAGCAGATATTTTATCAGACATAAATACAGCCACCAGATTCCTCAACATGTGTTAGCCACACACTCTCAGCCAACCACATTTGTGTTTTTTTGAAGAGCTTCAGATTTATCAGTGTAGTCTATAACTTACTACGTTGCCTCTGGCCCCAGTTGAGTGTCTGTGTTGACACATTGTGCCATCAGCTGAGTATTTTATTCTCACTGGTCCTCAGAGTTTAAAGGGTCATCCTATATTCTTTTTTTTAGAGCAGGGCCTTTTCAGGGATTTGGGGTTAAATGACTCACAGGCGTAAAAAAATGTTTATTCATCGTGTGTTTGAGCATTCAACCTCAAAACAGACTGCAAGCCAATTCTTCGGCGGAAAATCTCCAAAATAAAGTATGTCCAATTATAAGTGCTAAATTTGTCATCGACAGCCTCTGGTGATGTTTCTAAGTAATCTTCTTTGGAAAATCTACAAATATACAACCGTTGAGTTTCAGAGTGAGAGACTCATTTTAATCACAAACAACTTTGAGAAGGCGCTCTTCAAAGTTTAAAGCCACCAGACTCCATAAACAAAAACAATTTTATTTTGAAACATCAGAGAATACAGGAGTTCCTGGTTCTGCTGCTGCCCTGTCTGTTCATTATGTATTTGAAATGGTTCATTCTTCAGATCGAACACAACAGCTGTGTAAAATGTCTTTGCCAAAGAGGAAGTCGATGCTAGTGGTGGACTGGCAACAGCTGGTTCTGCGAGGTAAAGGAGTCTTTTTGTCAATGGAGTCTGATGGCTTGGAAGAGATCGATGAAAACAGTTTTCAGAAATGTTATCGCCCTTCAAAACGAAAAGACTGATCTCCATTATGAGCCTTTTTTATAATAAGATAAGATATCTTTATTGTCACTGTACAAGTACAATGAAAAATTGTTGGAGCAAGCCTGTAGATGCCTGACAAATATACAAATACGAAAACCAAATATTCAAATAAGAAATACAATTAAATAATATAATATAGTATACAATATACAATTAATTTGCATTAATGTTGTCAGATACTAAGAGGTCTTCTGAACACACATAAATGAACACTAAAGTTCTTACAAGTATACACAAGTTATAATTGTGGATCACCTTTGTAAAAAACACCAGATAGATATGGCTCCTAACAATCCTTTGAGGAAAACCGGAAGCTGTAAGTCTGTGTTTTTGTTACTTGGAGATGATGATGATGATGATGATGATGATGATGATGATGATGGGCTTTGTGACCGGGCAGGTAATCCCCAGTGAGCAGCTCTGTGACGTCCTTCTCTTTGAGCTCACTGAGTGGATAGAAACTCTGTGGATTAGCTCTCATAAACACAAACACAGCTAGGAGCGGTCGTTCACATACTCTCTGCCTGCTCAACAACAACCGACTGCCTGATGAGGAGAGATCACAGCACAGATACACATAAGACTGAGTCTTCTTTTAGTAAGCTGAACGTTTTCAGCCTTTTTCTGTCTTTCTGCACATTTCCTGACTGTGACGTTTCACTTTTGGAAATGACTGTCATCTGTTTTTCTCAGTGAGTATTTCTGAGAGTTGTCTCCCTGGCACCTTATCCTGTAGAAAAAGACATCCAGCTAAATACTTTTTCTTCTTTTTGCAGCGTGCCCACCGTCCCAGTGAAGAACCTCAATGGATCCAGTCCTGTTCACCCTGCACTGGCTGGTAAGAAAACACACAATATGCTGCTGTTCACTAGTGCACAAAGTTCAAACTTTGATGAGCTTCTTTTGTTTATTTCACAATAAACAAGAAGAGAGGGAATGACCCACTTTCTCTCTGCTGTGTTTCAGGGATCACAGGTATCCTGATGAGTGCTGCTGCTCTGCCGGTGTGTCTGACCCGGCCTCCTAAACTCGTCCTGCACCCTCCGCCAGTCAGCAAAAGCGACATCAAACCCGTGCCAGGCTTTGGTCACTGCTGCAGGAAGACCACCAAGAAGCAGGCTCGCAAGGGTGAGGAAGAATTTGTGTTTCCTGTTTGAAACGTCTCCATTTTAAAATCCTGTTTTCCGATAATGACGGTCCAAAAGCCTCTGAGTAAGCTGCATTCATGATAAACCAACAGGTGTGACACTCATTTTTAAAAACCTGTTTCCTCTCTCTTCTCTCTGCAGGTAAAACTCCAGAGGAGGTGGTAAAGAAGTATCTGCAGAAAGTAAAAAGTCCACCAGAGGAGGTATGACAAATATATGAATCTACAGCTCGTAAATGACAGTATCATTACAGTATTTTTAAACCTATATGTTTAGTTTTGTACTGTGTGTGTGTGTGAATGGCTTATAGGTACAGGTAGTTTTGGAATGACTCCAGTAAATCTTATGACACTCATAGTCTGAAAAAGTTGCAGGAAGGATCCCACAGAGCATTGCCATCTGTGAGCTAGATCCTTATGTTAGATCAGAAGCACCTTTTACATCGCTCCTTGTTAAGGAACCAGACTCCATTGACAAAAACAATCATTTTATCTCCCAGAACATGGCAGCTGTTTGTAAACCTCTGTGTTCATCTGCACGTTCTTTTTCTTTGTTATTGTGTATTAAACCAATCATTCCTTTGATCAAACTAACCGTGTATTCAGAAATTAAAATCACACAATATCAGATTTTAAAAAACTGATCAAGGATCCGATAGACGAGTTAAACACATTCCCCAGGTAAGAATCGTGGCTTTTGTCAATGCAGTCTGGTCGCTTTAGAAATAGGTCTTTGCATGTTTTATAAAGGATATTTATCTTTAAAAGATGTTCTATCCATAAAGTGATACTTTGGTTAATAATGTTGTCAGAAACTGTGGTGACAATCTGAACCTGTCTGTGGCAAAAACATGTTCACTTATATCACATGAAGTTGATTTCACATTGAATGGAGGGATAACGTTTCTAAATTTCTAAATATATGTATACATGTGTGTTTTCCTCGTCTCTCCTAGGACTGTACAATCTGCATGGAGCCGTTGGGGGGTCCGTCTGGATATAAGGGTCCAGGGGTGGGGCCTGTGTCTCGGGCGGGAGTCAGTCGGCCGTCTAGCGCAGTGTGGACACCAGTACCATTTCCAGTGCCTGGTGGCCATGTATAATAATGGCAACAAGGACGGAAGGTAAGTTGACCACAGAGAGAACGTCGCACTTTATTTTCACTCTAATCTGCAGCATTATGAGCGCTCGCTTTAATCACACAAACGTCTCTTTAGTCTTCAGTGTCCAACCTGTAAAACCATCTACGGCGTGAAGACGGGCAACCAGCCGGCAGGGAAGATGGAGTACCATGTCATCCCTCACTCTCTCCCTGGACATCCCGACTGCAAAAGCGTACGGATCATCTACAACATACCACCAGGCATTCAGGTACTCCATGAAGGACTGTGCTGTTGGTTTTATTCTTGTATCATGGGTGAAATGGGCAGATTTGTTTATACCGCTGGAAGACTTTGAAAAACACTGAAGTCTGAAACTCTCTCACATGGAAGGTCTTTTCAGTCACAGATAAAAGATGTTCAAAGCCTTGGTGTCTTACACATCAGCCTTTGGTTTGCTGCTTCCTGTTTGGTGTTGCAGAGATAGTTCCTATTGGTTGTTGGAAATGTTTACCTCTGACCTTTACTTTAAAGTCTTCTGATTTTATTGGAACATCAAGAAAAAAGGACTGATTAGCATCTTATACCAAACAATAGATGTGAGGCTACAGTTTCCTCAACATTTCATGAATTTGTTCCAACTTTGAATTAATACTAATTATTTCTTTATCAATAGAAAAAGAGCTTGAAAATGTATTTTTGTCTGAACTCGTTTTTTAAACCTGCCCTTGTCCTTACAGGGACCAGAGCATCCCAACCCAGGGAAGCCCTTCACTGCCAGAGGCTTTCCCCGACACTGCTACCTCCCAGACAGCGAGAAAGGACGCAAGGTATATATAGATCTGTGCTCAACCCTAAAAACCCTGATTGATGCTTTTGCTTTTTAATAATATCATGTTTTGGATTATTTCCAAAAAACCTATCTGTTTGATTACAGCCTATAGTAAAAGTCAGTAAACCATAATACCTGATGAAAGCTAAATGTTGTTGTATGTGAAAAATTGCAAAAAGGAAGACATGACATTAGACATTCTCACTTAATTTCACTGAATAAACACTTACTACATATTGATCCAAGAAATTATTACCTGTAGAAGCATGGACAGAGTATTTTTGATAACTTCTGTTATTTTAACTCTGCAGACAATTTGGTTTTTAATATATTTTTTTTTTATAAAGTGCAAAAAGAAAAAAATGCAAAGCCTTAATTGGTATTTGTCCCTAAAGTCTATGATTTGTCCTTATTGTGATACCGAATATTGGAGAAATATGTAACTCTGACCCCTAGTGTTAGAATGGGGACTGCAGTCCTAATTCAAAACAAGCCCCCTCCTCCCTTGAGTTCATCCATACTGACCTCTCTCCATTTTTCAAAGTATTTATCCTACTTTTACCACATATTAGGTTTAACTAAAGTATGGGTCTCCTAAATGTAAGTTAAGTGTTCTAGCTATTACTATTTTTGATCCTAGATTTTCAGAGAATTATTCAAATAAGAATTTCTATCGCTGGGCACAGGACGACTGTTTTCATGAGTTTCATACAGGTCTAAGTATATTTAAACCCATCCCTGTCTCACCTGTCTGCAGGTACTGAGACTGCTCCTGGTAGCATGGGACCGCAGGTTGATCTTCTCGGTTGGTACTTCGAGCACTACGGGAGAGTCCGACACCGTCATCTGGAACGAGGTATGTTCACAAATACTATAGAGTAACAGAAGAGAGTGTCATAAATAAGAGATGTAAAGAAACAGTGCAGAATAGAATATCAATAGAAGTATGGGAAATAAACCCATTCATTCTGAGAGGGGGAATTCAGGAAGTTCAGAAAGGAAGTACAAAAGTAAGTTAAGTAGAACAGTAGTAATATACATTATAATGACAGTGGTGTCATATCAAAGCTATGTTGCTTAGGAGAACATTAACTGCTCATTTGATTTTAACTAATTTGATAAACGATTCATTGTTTTGGAGAAAAAAATGTAATAAGCTGGTTCAGCAACTTAAAAGTAAGGGATTTGCAGCTTTTTGTTTTGATGTAAAAAAAATAATCTTGGAGTTTTGACTAGAGAAGCGATTTGAACACACTCATGAAATTGTGAAGAGCAGCTATTCACAAATGTATTGCATCTGACAGACTGAACGAGTGATTGATAAACCATACAAATGATTAACACATTGATAGTTTATGAAAATATTGCAGTCCTATTCAAATTGTCACTCACATGTTTATTTGGTTGGATGTAGTTTGTATTATTTCCACATGAGCTTTGTTGTCACTGAAACACAAGCACCTACCTACCTGCCTAGCTATCTTATCTATTGTAATAAAAACAACATTTTCTTGCTCCATTGTCTTAGGTCCACCATAAGACGGAGTTCGGCTCCAACCTGACGGGCCACGGTTTTCCAGACCCCGGACACCTGGACAATGTCCTGGAGGAGCTCCGTGCTCAGGGCATCACAGAGGATGACGCAATGATGGAAAAGTGAAAGGATGAGTTAGAGAGAACGAGGATACATCCGCCTGAGAGGAAAAACAGAAGAAACTAAGACAGCGAGAATTAAAGTAACAGCAGAAGCAGCCGAGGGAAGAAAAGAGGAAGAGGTCCTGGACTGAGACAGACTCTCTCTGCCAGCACTTAAACAGAAGGGGGGATGCGGGGGGTTGTAGAAGATTGATTTTGTTTTTGCAGAGGTAACTACTTTTCAAGATGTCGATCGTGTCACTGCTGACAATGTGAGTCGATCCAAACAGCAAAAAGAAATGGAGGGGGGGGGGGGATGGGGGTTAAAGGGAGCCGCAGCACAGACAGGAAAGCAACAAAGAGGAGGAGGGTCACACTCATGGTTTTAGCCTCTAGAGATAGGTACTTAACATGGAGAAGTGTGAATGAAACGGTACTAACATCAGGACAAAAAAACAAGTTTACTTTACTGAGAGAAAGAGAAACCAAGAAAAGATGGCAAAATGTTAGAGCAGTTCAAGGAAAACTGAGAGAGAGGGGACAAAGAGAGAGAGCAGTCGGAGCAAATGGGGAGTGAGGAGGAGGGGGAAGGAGAGAAGGATTGATGTAGCAGAAAGATGGAAAAGATGGTGCATGAATGTAGCGTAGGATATGAGTAGGGTAAAAATTAACTTGTACGGTACTTTAGAGATCGCTGTTAACACAAAGAGACGGTCTGTGTGTGCTTTGAAACCACCTGCCTGCATGTGGTTGGACTGTGGTGCTGTTGCTCCCTCTTGTGGTGAAACTGCAGGAACTGCATTTTTGTCTGGAAGCTACTGCAACAAATCCAAATGTTACTATGAGTTTTATCTACCTTTTGTTACTTTTTTTTTCATCACTGTTACTATAACCCTCATGTAACATCATTCCATACTTTACCTCTTACTTTTGACTCGATGGGTTTTTTTTTATACGACCTGCATATGTGACATGACAAAAGACCAAACGAAGGCTGAGTCACTTTGGGCCTATTTGGAGTCTTACTTTTGAGCCACTGCGGTACAAGTTAACCATAGATACACACAGGTACCAGTATTTACTGATATATCTGTCTTTTATTTTTATTCTTTTGACGGTTCACATGTATATCATTGCTGTTGTGTTCCCCCCTAACAGGGAGACACCGATATGAAAAAATTAGCTGACATTTGAGGGGGGTTTGATACTGGAGCAAGAGACCTTAAGATTGGGCAGAGTGTTGGGAGTCAGGGGAATGGAGAGGACAGGAGGTAATACATTAACTACTGAGACAACGCAGTGTTTAAACGAGCAATGATACAATCCTGCTTTTACCATCATTAATACTGCACCACCATTCATCAAGATTACAAATCCAGACCCTTAAATATCCAAGGAACCTGCCACCAGTCATATTCTGGTGAAATACAACGCTTAAAAAAGACATCAAATGATGGTCCCATGTCTATGCCACAGAAGAAAAGCTTCTTTCTTTTTTTTACTTTGACTGGATACAAAAAGTGTTTGATGCTGTTTTGGGAAATCTCCTGACGACACGATGAGCTATTTCCTCATCCTGTTGACATCAGTTAAGACTTTTATAAACCTGCATTGTGAAGTAGGTCTTTCTGGCATCTTTTTTAAAATATGTACAATCAAATCTGAGCCACAGTTCTTCATGTTTTGCATCATAATGCTGTATTCTGATTCTAGATGATCAGTGGCTATATGAAGTGAAAGTGCCACTCACTGGAGACAGATGAACATGTGCTCCACACCTGAGAGAAAACACTTGTAGTTTTTGTCTATCACAGTAATCCTGTTGGATGAGACCAGCTAACAGGTTATCACTTTGGGAATTGGTCAGCCTCTAGTAGCTCGATGTGGTGAAGTAAATCCAGACAAAGTTTCCAGAGTGTGTTTCCAGATTAGAATAAATTCACTGACACCACTCTAACTGGTGTTACAACATATCTGGTCGGATAAATACTAAGTGGTTGTATTCAATTAAAAACAAATAATTATAAAAGATCCTGCAGTTGAACTCGGCACGCATGAGAACATAGCTTTACATGTAATAAAGGATTAACTAATGATTAGTAAAGACTTAGAAATATTCACATTTTGACTGTCAATGTCAAATTTCTGATGCTCAGTGTTACACATATTTCAAGTAACTCAACTGTACTTGCTCCTGATTGGCTTTCGCAGCATCACAATGCCTGTGATAGTTTGAATTGACTGGATCAATATTCTGACAGATCAGCTGCTTTTCTGAACGATGAAGAGTAAAAACGTAACGCAAAGCACCAGAAGAAGCATTCTGTGACGGGTACAAAAACATGGGACCTTTAATTGATCACTTATTCGCTCATCCTTAATGAAACCAGACGTATTTGTTTGATCATAAATAATGTTCAAGTCCCTCCTCTTCTTTTCTCTACCTCGCTTGACTCCTCAACAAACCGCCCAGTCTCTGAGTTGGGTCTGTTAAAGACCCTTTATACATCGCTACAAGACCTGTGAGTGAGTGAGTGTGTGTGTGTGTGTGTGTGTGCGCGCGCGCTAGTGTGTGAGATAAACTGTGTACTGTGTATACTCCCAACAAACCACCGGTTTAGGGTATTATTTTGGTACTCCATGAAAATCCCATCATCTTCACACTGTGATGATGACTGATGATGGCTCTCTGTACGGTAACTTTTTAATTATGTTCTTGTTTTATATTAAATATCATTACACCTTTTCTGTTTTTAATAGCATTTTCCTTGACACTATAATAGATTAAATCACCTTTTTCATTTTGTACTTTTATCTTATGATAAATATGTTGTTTTGTTTTTTTCCATTTGTTACTATTGGTTTACAAAGACAGTATTGTGAAATACAAAGTCTTTTTTCATGTGTACAGAAGTTAAGCTGAACTGAATTGTCTTTTCTTTGGAAAAGGAATCTGATGGTAGACTTTTATTTGAGTGTAAAGTGTAATGAATTGTAATAGCAAGTAAAAAGAAAAAAAACCCTTGTTGCTCTTCTGTGAGGTAGAAATTCATTTTTCCAGCTGTTGTCTGTCCTGCTTCTGTTCTGCTCCGAGGCTCTAACTACCTGGGACGTTTTCACAGCAGATTAGTTGAATTATCATCCAGATTTTGGACTGTTGCTCATTTCCAAAGCTCTCGAGGAGGAATAGGGTCTACTGTAAGAAAGAATAAATATTCAATTTAATAAGAAGGAAGATTTTTTTTAATGCAATCTGAGAAATGTCCAAACACACTGTCCCTTACTTACATGACAACCTTTACCTTTTAAGGTTTTAACGCTTAGTTCTCAATAATATTAATTCTTTGTTTTTACTCATCACAACAAACATAATGAAAAAGTTTTAAGAAAGAAGTTAAGTCTAAATTCTGATCAAAACATTTCGAGTCTTTTTTCAAGGTTTGATCTTCATGCCCCACACGTAAAAACAATTATTGACATTACTTTAAACTGTTACTAACTTTTCACTCTACATATCTTTCAACATGTTTGATAGGACATTTATTCTTGGCACGTTTCCTCAACTTAACAAATGTATTCCTGCATTACAACATTTAAAAAAATCTTTCTTACACTGTGTCCTAATGACTCTGTATTTAGCAGCAGAAGTGCAGGTGACACAGTGAAAATGAGGTTTCTTCTTTTTAAAACATTGTTCACATTGTTTCCTTTTGTGTTGTTGCAGTTTTCTTTTTCTGTCAGGCCCAATCTCTGAACGATGACAGCATGTTTTCAAAGCTAATGAAGTCAATTGAGTTGCAAAACTACCGTAGTCTTATTTCCCTTTATTTTCTAAATTGGATTTTATAAGTATGACGATTATGTTATTTTAAGAAATATGAACACAAACCTCAGTTATCTTTGAAAGAGGCAGAGTGTTCATAAAAAGGTTTTGATCCATTTTCAGGGTCTGATGCCGTGTTAGCAATGTAGCAAACATCTGTGACTAATAATTCAGAACTTCAGTTTTGTTGCATTTTTAAATGTCTGTTTCTTTCCCTTCATCAATTCTCATCCCAACTGAAGACAACATACTCCAAAAACATCTGTCAGTGAATATGATACGAGCTCAATGACTTGTGTAGAGCAGTGGGGCTGGGAAACAGATGATCAGAGGTGCTGTTATGGAGGGCTTCAACACGTGATGAAAGCAAACTGTATATACTGCAAAAGTAATTGCTAAGTATGAATGAGTGATTAATACAAGAAAAAATAAAGAATGGGTGTAACTTCCGGGCTGTGTTGTGCTATTTTTTTGATACATATCGTGAACCAAAGAACATTTTATCTTCAACCTCTCGTCTGTAATAAAGCTTCTGTTCATCATTCAGTATTGATAAATTGATCATGAAGTACCACACAGCGCATGTCCCTTCGATAGCTCAGTTGGTAGAGCGGAGGACTGTAGGTGATAAGCGGACATCCTTAGGTCGCTGGTTCAAATCCGGCTCGAAGGACAAATTGTTTTCGCATCATGTGCCGCCATTTATTTACTGACATTTTTATATTTTTTTGAGAGGAAACTAGTTTTGCCCCTCATGATCATAGATTAATATTATTATAGTTCACACGTTCGTGTTAAAAGTAACCGAAAAAAGGACTAGTTCCCTGACCGGGAATCGAACCCGGGCCGCGGCGGTGAGAGCGCCGAATCCTAACCACTAGACCACCAGGGACATGTCGAACCGTGATCCATGACAATAGATTTAATTTGTCTGATAATGTTATAGCCACTTGTTTAGTGATGTAGTTTGATGCTCTGAAGTGGTTGCTTTACTAAAACATTTATGACTTTATGGTCGACCTTAATTAAAGATCGCTCTTAAAATGTATAAAAAATGATAACCTATATAAATTATAATTCGAATAAGAAATGTTTTCATTGACCTTATGTTCCATGGAAACGCCGGATCAGCCCACTCTATCACCTTCCGATTGCGTTCTAATTCCAGGTAAATCGCTGGACGTCGTGTAGTAGGCTGAGCTTGAAGTGGTTCTGTTTCAAATTTCATTAAGTCAGCTATGGATCAAAACACATACACTAAATCCACAGCAAGAGGGGATCGACACTAGAGGTCGCTGTTAGCTTTTGGGGAGTAAGAAGGAGGTGGCTGAGCAAAGGCTAGCTGATAGCCGATTGGTTCGGTTCACTGACTTATAGAGTTCACAGATTGGCTCACTTGCAAACTCATCAAATCACTCAAAGACAACAATAGAAATTGAACCCTTAGTAGTGACTTGATCAGACAGCTAGATATGATTGTATTTGTTATGTTTCAATCATCTTCTTTAGGCATAAAAGGAATTCTAACCATCTTTCAGTAACTTTATATCTTGAGTTACACCTCCACTACATATGTTATTTTTAAAATAGAGGAATGTTTTTAAAATTAAAGTGTCATAGTTAAACCTGGGCTACACTTAGCAATATCATCAAGCAGGCGTCCTAAAGAAACATTTTTTACCCAGCCATTCGTTCCACTCTATCACAATCAGGTGATCTCTTAGCAGGTCCTTGGTGCGATTCCCCGAGTCTTCCGATGGTCTCCTTCCAGTCAACATTAACTTAAAGGTTTGTAAAATATAGTGTTTTCAATACTGTTATTGGTGTGCAAAAGAATTATCTTCTATAGGTCATCTATGTAACATTTGATGGGGCGCACAAACATGGCGTGGATAATGCTTTTAGATGGTTAACAAACCAATTAATATTCATTGATAAAATATTAATTATCTATCTAAAAAATATTTATAGATGCTTTACAAAGTATCAGTAAGGGATTATAATCTTCAGTTCCAACTTTATAATAACCATCCAAATAATGTTAATAGACGCTTTATAAAATATTTACAAACCATGAACAAATAACCGGTCCATGTATCTCTGTAATGTTTATAGATGTTTTATAAACCATCTCTTAAAGGTTTATAAATCATTTGGTCATCATTAACAAAGGTTATATGTAGGTACGGTTTAGTCTATAGTTGTGCTTGGGCTCTACACACAGCAGACACTATATTTTTACAAACTCAGAGCAAACTCTGATACTAGAATATATTTAATTAAACGTAGTCCAGAAAAAAAATCGACACAGCTGCATTTCCCAAATGCAGGAAGAAGGAGTGATATTCTGTCCTCAATGTGTTGTGTGTGTTTGCACCAATCGACAGATAGCTAACAGACTTTTGGAGAAATCAAGGGCTGGAGTCAAGTCAAATGCTCTTTACTGTTGTCATCATTCTCTTTCGTTTTTAAAAGTAGATGCTATTAAAACAACATTTCATGTTCCACACAAACAAAGGCAGCTACAACGTTTTGGTGTACAAAAATCACATTCCAAAGAATAGGCCAATATTCAAACATAACTTGTGAAAGAGTTACAAAAATATAAGCGGCTCACTGCAGCATAACAAACTGTACTGGTATAAATGCAACAAAGTTCTTCTAATCAGAAAGAAGAGTGTTAATCATTTCTGGCTTATTGATGTACTAATGGTGTTTGATCCTTAATGTGCACCAACAAGAATGTTTCTTCATAAGCCTTGTGGCACTAAAGACACTTTGAGATGTTTGGACGATTTTTTAACACTTTTAATTCAAAGCAATATGAAAACATTGAAATGTTAACGACAAATAAATTGCAAAAAGAGACAGCATAGAAATCAGAATATTGAGCACATACTGTGTAATTACCTTAAATACAAGTAGCTGCTTGATATTGAAACACTGATAGCGTCTTCTGTTTCTGGATCACTAAGCTGCTCATGCATGTGGGAAGTTTGTTGTTTGGTCATAAACATGATCATCTGTTTCAGGAGGAGACAGGGGATGCTGCACCAGCTTGTAGTACACCGATCTTAAGCCGGGGTGTTCATCGGGTTCTGTTGAGTCTGGTAAATTTCTTCTCTGGAGGCACAAAAACAAAAGAAGTGAGCAAGGGCATGAAGAATTATAAGAAGATACTTTCTGCTGAAGCTCAGATGTCTGACCCGTCTTCAGCTGTTCCAGTTCCAGAGGCTCAATTATAGACTTTTTTTAAGAAGTCAACATTGCAAAAGTCTGATTATTATTTGCTTCAGTTCCTATTGGTATTGAACTATTCTAATTCAATCATAAATAATCTTCATTAAATTTGAGGGGGATGGAGACATTTCTTGTTACTACATTACCCCCCTATAGACTGGTGTGTAACAGTGAGTAGGGTCATTTTGTCACAGACTTTCTATATACCCTAACTTCTTTTTCGGACCAGTGGAGACGACCCTTGCTGGACTTTTGAAGACTTTAGGTTAAGGAGAATTCTTATGTAGAGTCTACACTACAAACTTCAAATTCAGGAAAAACTCTGTGAAGATACTGTATATTACCACCATTCTTTAAGCTGTAACTGTACAAGAGTACATGGATTTCATGAAAAAGAAAACACCAATACTACCAATATTAATAATGCAATTAATGATGTATGTGTGTTCTGTCTTTTTGATGGTCAGACTATCTAAGCTATGCCATTACAATTCCTGGCATTTTTAAACTGTCTGTCTTGACTTCTTGGTTCAGGCCTGTACATCTATGAGCTACTCAGCCCAAAAATAATTTTCTTAGAATGCTTCTTTCTTAGAGTGCTGCAAATTCAGAAAAGGAGCCACTTCCACAATACATTCAGAGGCGAATGATAAACAGCAAACATGCCACAAGTACTTAGACATTGCAGAGTCTAAACACACAAAGAAGGAAACATTGGAACTCTGGCATACACAGGACCATTTCACTTCACACAGTGCCTCATGTGACCTCTTGTGTTACGACATTATGAAGTATTGCTGGTGCAAAAAATATCTGAATTGCCACACATCCGAGTCATAGTTGCATTAGAATAGCCTAACTAATCATGTCTGGCAGATATGTAGACATAGTTTGCATGCAGCCAGCTTCCACTGAAGAGGATAAAGATAAACACATTAAAGACAACACAACAAACTATTTGAGAAATTTCAGTCTGGTTTCCGCTCTGCCCACAGTAGAGAAACAGCTCTGGTCAGGGTCACAAATGACGTGCTGATGGCAGCTGACGCTGGTTCTCCATCTCTCCTCGTTCTCCTCGATCTGACAGCAGCATTTGACAGCATCGATCACGCCATCCTCCTCAACCGCCTTCACTCTGTCATTGGTCTTTCTGACTCAGCCCTAGACTGGTTCTGTTCATACCTCACTGGAAGAACCGAACATGCCTCACTTGGAGACAAAAAATCCCGGACTCACCTTGTCACCTGCGGTGTCCCTCAAGGATCAGTCCTCGGCCCCACCCTGTTCAATATCTACGTGCTACCCCTTGGCCGCGTCATCAGCCAACATGGAATTTCATTCCATTGTTATGCTGATGACACTCAAATATACCTAAAAACAAATCAAACCCCCTCTGCACCCCTGCCACCACCTGCCTGGAGGAGATAGAGTCGTGGATGAAGAACAACTTTCTCAAATTAAACAGCTCCAAAACAGAAGCGATTCTACTTGGCACCCCTCACCAGATCAGTTCATCTCCCATAACCACCATCACCTTTTCTGGCCAAGTCATCCACCTCTCTCCAACCGTCACAAACCTCGGCTTCAAAATGGACCCTAAACTGAACTTTGAAGCCCACATTAAACATCTGTGCAAAAACTCATTCTACCACCTCAGAAACATTGCCAAACTCCGCCCTACACTCTCCCTGTCAGATGCTTAGAAACTCGTCCACGCCTTTGTCTCCTCCAGGCTGGACTACTGCAACGCACTCCTCATCAGGATCCCTAGCAAGAGCTTCCAGAAGCTCCAACATGTCCAGAACAGCGCTGCTAGGGTCCTGCTGAGGGTGCGTAAATATGAACACATCACACCCATCCTTCAGTCACTACACTGGCTCCCTATTTCATTCAGGATTCAATACAAAGTCACCCTTCTCACCTACCAGTGCACCCATGGAAATGCCCCCCTCTATCTCAAAGAACTCCTCACCCCACAATCCTCCACACAAAGTCTCTGCTCTGGAAACACCAACGCCCTCTATCCCCCCAGGACTAAACTCCACACCATGGGTGACCGGGCCTTCTGCTCCTCTGCTCCTCTGCTCCCAGTCTGTGGAACGCTCTCCCCGAGCAGCTGAGGGCGCCACAGTCTGCTGACGCTTTTAAAAGGTCCCTAAAAACCCACCTTTTTAACAAAGCCTTCTGCTTGTGCTTTTAGTTTCGTTAG